CTGGCCCTGCCGCTATACCACCCTGAAAAATGAAGAATCGAGTTTCAGAAACTATAAATGATAGCAAATATACAAAGCTACAAGAGGTTTTTATAAAATTGATCATTGCCTTCAGTCCGTCTTCATGGAAACCATAGCCTGAAACAAGAAAATTCTAACAAAGATTAGATGAATCTAGAAGTAAAAGGTGGTTCAAAATATATATTCTCACCTTGATATCCACCACAGAACCATAGCCCACGTTTTCCTTGAACCTTGGAAAGCTCTCGTGAAGCAGTCAAGGCGGCAACAGAAGGAATCGGGTGACCAGTGGTCCATTTGAGCAACGTCTTCTTCGGGTTATAATCGGGATTCAGTGTCACGAAGAACGGTTCGCTCTTCTCTCCAAGATTCTGCATATGGTTTAACACATCGACCGATCGATCGATACTTTTGACAATCAAGTATAAAGCCCTTCTCTTCATCTTCATCATGCCAAGAGATTGTTTCCACATACCTGTATTGTATTGAGCCAGTACGTTACGCATACTTTGTTTTCTGTGGTCCCGAGAAAATTCCACGCGCTCCATGCTGTTGGGTTCCGGGGCATAAAATCTGTGTCACGGTGGAGATATATATCGCTGACAAGCGAAGACCATGTTAATGAATCAATTACCTTCTGCATAATTTATAACCAAATAATTTCAACACTAAGTTGGCGTTACCTGTAGACGTATTGAAAAGCACCAAGAACCCTCCTTTCATCGAATGTTGCTTGTTCCCCAAGCAACCTCAGAGCGTGTGGGGCGTGCATTGCCAATATACATCGATCAAATACTTCCTCCGACCCATCTTCATTCCTTACAGTGACACCTGCAGGTTTTGGATTCCAAAACTATCTTACGAGGGAACAATAAGTTCAAAGAAGATGTAGAGAGAGAGAGAGAGACCATTATCAGTAGTAGTAACCGATTGTACTTCACGACTTGTTCTGATTTTGCATCCTCGTTTTTGCAGTTCTGTCCTAACCTGATAGTACATATATATAGACATAATGATCCATAATACTTGAAAAAATCCATCATTTGAGTACCTTCGCCACATAAGTATGCGAATGCCCTGCAACGGTAAGCAACTGTGGCCTTCCAAATAGCTGAAATGACAGATCAAGTAAAGATGCATCGATAAAATCGTATGAATGGAAGTATAATATATCTTAGGTTTAACGCGAACCTGAAGCAAGTGATGGTCGCGACAGAAATAAAGAACAGTGAAAGCCGAGGAGCTCAAGACACGATCATAAGGGCATGACCATATCGAACAACATAGCGGTACCTGTCCCAAAACATCATCCAATCTCCCTATCGATCAATAGATTACAAGAAAAACTGGATCAAATCAGCCAAGAATGGATGAAAAGGCGTCAAAACTCTCACCACATAAGCTTTCTGAAACAACTCGGAATAGCCATGAGACTTGAGGAATTGGCCCAACGTCTCGGTACGATCAAGATTAGGGTTACTCTCTAGTTCTTCAATGTATCTCAAAACATCATCCTTAAACTTTACCATTTCTCTGATCATTTGCCAGAAATGGGGATTGAAAACGTTACTCTTCTGAGCAAACAAGCTCGAGAGGCCGTTTCGGCTTCCCCATTCAATTCCTCTCCCACTGTCAAGGCTCACTGAGAAAGACGCGTCTGAAACCTCCAAGTCCACTCCAAGATCCTCGAAGAACTCCATCATGTTGGGGTACGTTACCTGTTAAATCGTTCATGTAGAATCAAAGAAGGGTTTTTCTCCTGAATTCTTAGAAAAACAAACATGCAGAAGTTATTGTTTGATTTCCTCTGCATGGGAATTCCACGTACGCGATTGAAGACCATGAAGCCGATGTCCACGTCAACACCATCGAAACGCACCGTTCTAGCATGGCCTCCCAAGTTTTCCTCTTTCTCGTACAACACCACTTCGACTCCATCTCTTGCAAGAACATGCGCAGCTCCCAATCCGCTTATCCCTCCTCCAATAACCGCAACTCTCATCTTCGATATGTTTTGTTCTAAAAGTTTTATCAGAAATGAAGATTGGACCGATGAAAAATCATCTCCACTTAGTTATGTGATATATATAGAACTCAATTCCCATTCAAACACAAAATAAAAATTATCCATAAAGGAAAAAAAATAATTTTCATATTGAGAAATGATCTTTAATGACTAATATTAAATAATGTATAAGCACCGAAATGTGACATTTGGACCAATGAAAAATCATTTCGACTTGGTTATGTGATATATGTAGAATTCAATTCCAATACAACATGAATAAAATGTATCGAATGAGGATAAACAATTTTCATATTGAGAAGTGATCTTTAATGACTATATTAAATCATGTATAAACACCAAAAATGTGACATTTGATAGGGAAAAGTCCTAACACTTCCTTCTAACTCCAGGCTTTAATTCTATTTTTAACAAGTGTTCAAATCATGTATAATTTTAACTAATATTTTTAGGGTGTAAATAGAAACTATTTTTTTTTTAATACATCATAAATATTAAGATCTAAAACTCTATGATAATTTATTAAAATATATTAATATGATTAAATACTGATTTCGATAAGATATTGAAAAAACTATCATAAATTTAGTTGTCCGTTGGCATAAGTATACTAGTGCTAGTTGGTTCATTCTGAATTATTTTAAGACATGTTTATCAAATTTTAAATGGATAAACGCATGGTTATATTGACTTATGAATGTGGTAGTATTTAATCAGGCCATGACTTTGTTTACCTACATACCCTTTTTATTTTTGTCAGTGTGGGTTTCTACATAAATCCCAATAATTTTTTGTGTGAATAATTAAATAATAAATATATGATAAGATAAAGAATGGCGATAAAGTGGATTTGGCTGAAATATGTCAAAGGAGTTGGAATTTGAAAAGCCCACGTCTGTGGACTTCACGTGAAATATTACAAATAACGTTTTCATTGAAAAAATAATAATTAACCAAAAAAAAAACTCTTAGAAAATCGCCGTTATGTCTCGAGAGTTTACTATATGGATACATATAAACAGCCATATTCAGACAATCTTTTGTACAATGTATTAGAAAGAAACTGAGTTGTCATCATACTTAATGAAATCAAAATTAATCAATCTTTGATTTTATTAACGACAATACATTACAGATAATTAGTAGTACATTACATTTGTGGATATATTTCATGTAGAAGACTGAGCATATGGACTCGAGGATTAGCAATTCGCCATTGTCTTTCTGCCTTTAAAGCATGGTATTGGGGCAATCCTGTCGGTTATTTGAAAATCGAATCAACTTGATTTATATCGAACTGATTAAAATTAAATAATCCGAAATTTATTGAATTAAAAAATCGAATCAACTTCGATTGATTTATATCTGAACTGATTAAAATTAAATAATCCGAAATTTATTGAATTCAAATTAATCGTAGATTGAATAAATCGAAACCCGAATTAACGGTAACCAAATCAACCGAATATAACCGTTTTTCAATCTATATATCACCGATTAATATTATGTATGTTATATCTAATTAGACAAATTAGAATAATGAAATTTGTTTTATAACTATGGTATATAACAAAGTGAGGTCCTTCAAATTTGTTTCATTTACTGTTATAACCGAACTGATTTTTTATTTGGTTGTTATGTGATTACAATTTTAATTAGATCGAACCGATTAAAATCAAATTACCGTTTTGTTATGAATTTTCAAAACTCGAAATAACCAAACCGGTCCAACCTTAGTATGCTATGTAACTTCTGTTTCCATCAGAGTCATCCACTCATGCGATACATAATACAAGCTGAAGCAGTCAAGAACAATTTCATGCAAGCCAAAAGGCGGAAGGCCAGAGTTTCATCTGAAGGGTTCGACCGGAGAGGTTTCTTCAAGAACAACAGCAGCCCGAAAGCATTCGGCCGCGTCTCCATCTGGTGCACACGGGTCCGCACCGTAAACGAGCCCGAGGTTGTACCAAGCTGCATGGTTTGTCCTGTCGAGCCTGATTGCATCTGTGAGGAGACTTCTAAGAACCGGCAGACATTGGCTACACCTACATAGCTGCAGCAGAACACGAGCCGCGGATGTTAGGCTCTGAATATGCGTAGGCTCGATGTCTAGAGCCGTATTATACGACTTCAAGGCCTCTGGCTTCAGACCCTTTGCCTCGTTTAGCAATCCTGCCATAAGAACAACAAAAAACTCGATCGGTGTCCATGGAAAGTGACCAGTCATCATTGTCAGAGATATGGAACCATCCATACCTATGGAGTGCCATCTATTAGCTGAATAAGGCTCAATGGCTTTGGATTTCAGAAGACAGAGCTCGGCGTCTGTCCAACTGACCAAGCTCGTGTACACGTTAGCCAGGTCAAGCCATGTCTCGGCCTCCATTCTTTTATCTTGCTTCTCTCTTCCCTGACACGGGAACGGTAATTTCTTTTTTATATCAAAGATCTGAACTTTACGGTGTTTTGGGGGTTTTAGAGATCAGAGTTCACCTTCTCAATGCTTAGGCTTCTATGTCTGATCTGCAGAATAGCTAGAAGCCGTGTGTATGTTCTTATGGCATTCTTCAACCGGCCTTGCGCTTCCTCGAGCTTAGCTTTCGTTTTCAACAGCTCGTGTTGCTCCCACTTCGTGGTTTGATCCATGGCTGCATCGATAACAGCCTCTGCCTCGGAGTATCGCTTCTGAGACGACAGTATACGAGCCAGAACAATGTATCCTTTAACGTCAGACCCGGATTCTATCTGCAGAAGCTGTTTCGCGTAGTGGAGAGCCACCTCGAGCTTTCTCTGCTCGGCGTTTTCCAGGCAAAGACGGAAGATAACATACGGGTTTCGCTCCGTCATCACTTTCTCTGCTGTTTCTAACGCGTCTAGAGCTTGAGATTGCCCGAGACTCCTATCCATGTCGGAAACGGCTGACCTTGCTTCAGCAGATAGCAAAACGGCTCTCAAGCAATTCGCTACGCTTATCATTTGGCTGCACATCTCGTCATCCGTCTTGGAAACTGCTTCACCGGCATAAGATAAACCGTCTGAAATGTAGATCGAATTCTCTCCACAGATCTTGGAAGCGAGTAATAACTCGAGCAAGCAGCCATGCCTCTCCTTCTCGTCGAGCAAGTTCCTCAGAAGATTCAAAGCAACAATGTTCTGACCTTCGGCATAGTAGCACAATGCCGAGGTATATAAAGCTTCTTTCCTCGAGACGAAACCCGGGTGCAAGTCCTCGACTTGCAGGGCAAGAACCCTAGATTCCCCGAGAATGGCCAAAGCATAGGACAGATGGTCCATGACTGAAGGGTCCCAAGAAATCCTCCTAAGAGTCGATTTTCTTAGCAATACGAGCAGCAGAAGGATAGCTTCTTCCACATTGTTCTGTGGCACAAAAGAATCTTCTATCTGGCAACGGAGATTCGGAGGTTTCCAATCCACGCCACCGTACAGAAGAAAGACGGCGAATTCCTTATGTATTTTCCCAGTGGTTTCAGCATCAAGATTCCAGCGATAGAGAAGAGCCCGTCTATACGCCAAGATCACGTCACTGGATGCACCAGCGAGCTTGCAAAGCTCCGGAAACAGTTCAACTGCTCGGTTCAGAGTTCGGTTTAACTTGAGATCAGAGGCTAAAGCTTCAGAAAAACCTTCGGGCAATGCAGATTCAACTGTGTCCAAGATCACTCTACAAAATCGGACAGCTTCTGAAAAAAGATCACGGAGAAAGGAGAAGATCGATTAAATTCATTCCCGATACGAAACCGAGATCACATTAAGGCTCGACAATGTATGTACCATCGAACCGTCCAAGATGCTGCAGTGACTTGGCTTTGAAGAAAACAGCTTCGAGGAGCAAACTGATGGCATGAAGAGACATCTGAGAGGAAACATCACTCTGCAAATGGCGGTTGGTTGGTACACTTCTTCTTGAAAGAGAGTGTTTGATCTTAGACATCACGGAAACTATATCGATCCCTTCGTATACGTGAAGGGCAGCTTCGACATTCCCCTTCTGATACTCTAACCTTCCCAGAAGAGCCCTAGCTTCCTACAGGGTAAGGAAATGGTTTCAAGCAAAGGTACCATCAAAGGCAGAAACCGGTATGAGATTATGCATGGAAACCTCGTAATTTAGAAAGCCGCTTTCCCGAAGAGAGGATTCCGCTTCTTCTATGTTGGTTTCGTCCGTCTTGGACACGAACGCGGTCTCCCCTGTCTTGGAGGAAAACCCTGACGCAGAATAGTCACGAGTCGCCAAAGAGTCTGAAGAATCGGCTGTTGCTTCATCCATGGCGAGTTGTTGTCCCGACCAAATGCACTTCATCATCTTCTGCAACTTAGATTTGATTTCAGACGACTTGCTGTCTATCCAGTTCTTGAGCGACATGTCGTATCACAACAGCACTTGAAGCTTTCCTGCAGAATTCGATGGAAGATCCAGATCAAGATCAGTGCTAATGCCATTGAGGTCGTATACCCAGATCAAGATTAGTGCTAATTATGAAGATATAAACACCAAATGCAGCCCTAATGACATCCAAAACGGCATGATGCGATCAAATTACGAAAAACCCAGAAACTGTCGGCAAAAGAAACACGAGAAACACCAGTCGATTGTCTCTTCGACTGAAACTGGAACTGAACTGGTCGACGCGAAACAAGCTCGACGAGACACGAAAAGGAAACAAATTTCTGAAAACCCACTGATCAAAGATCAAGAAGGGAATTACGCGGATTCAGCGGAGATTTCATCATCAAAGGCGAGATTAAAAGAAAGATGGAATGATTGGAAACAGAGCACGAAAGGCGAGAAATTGGGATCGCTAATTAAGTCCAAAAGTGGCGTAAAGCTCGTACCTTTTCCATGGCGGAAAAGCCCAAAAACAAAACACATACAAGAATAAGCGAGCCCACCAAGACAAAACACAGCACCAACTCTGTAGTAATCCGATGAGAATCTACAAGGACCCTGTTCTTCAATCTCTCTCTTCTTCTTCTTTTCTCCTTTATTTCCCGTTTTTGCTGGATTCAATGGGACACAGGAAGTGGGGTTTGAGTTTGGAGCAGAAGAAGTTGTGTCTTCTCCGAAGTAAATGACGAAATCCAACAGAACACTCCATTCCCATGTCAGAGGTGTGAATGCAGAAAGTTTGAACGCTGAAAAAGGTAACGTATTGAACAGTCGCACTAATATCGGAGTCCGATATTAATATTATATTATTATATCCTTGATATATGGTACCAGCTAAATTATTAAATTGTGTGAGATCGATTCGTGTGATTATAAAATTTTCATAAAAATATATTATAGGATGATATTATATTGTTCGAAAGTCACTAACCTAGACATTTTAACTTTCGAGAATACATAAGGATTTTAGTATGTATATAAATAGATGCATGGGAAGAGAGATGGGGTCATGCATTCTTCAAAAATTCCTAAAAAACATGTCGAATTTTCGATTAACGCGGATAGAAAAATGAATTAAAAAGAGTGGAAATTTATCATTAATTTGATAATATAATGAGTCGAATAAAACTCATTCGGAGTGATACAAATAAAAAAGGACATGAAGCTAGAATTTCAGTAATTTCTTAAACGAACAAACACTGTATGTATGGACGTAATCTCCATGCATTCCATGCAACGTGAAGTCTTTTGACCTCAGTGGTGGCCGATGCCGCCGCCGCCGCCACCC